ATGACGTCGAGAACCAAAAGTTGACCCATGGCGTTCACATGCCTACAAATTGTATGACGTCGAGAACCAAAAGATGACCCATGGCGTTTACGTTTCCTTCATGGAATCGGAGTTCTTCAACGACTCGCCACTTCCGGACTTCATCGACGACAACCACGACGATGACGGAGCCGCGACCGTTCCGCGACCCCACCGACGCACCCAACCAACGTTCTTCCGGAACGCACCACCGTCCCCGGCCGCACCCTCGACACCACCAGAAACCTTCCCCGAACTCACGCGCGCCCAGCAACGGCTCTCCATAGTCATGAGCAGAGTCCGCAGCGCTGTCGACACAGCCGTCGACGCCTTCATGCCCTCCAACACGCCAACACGCCAGCACCCGCACCGGCCACCGCACCCGCACGAACACGCGCCCCAACGACCGCACCGACCCGTACTTCAGCCCCACCCGCCGATACGCCCCTGCGCACAGTCGTACACGACACGCCGCCACGCCAAGACACGCCCCCACAGCCTTCGCCCCTATTCGAACAACGATGGCGTACTCGACTTAGACCCAACTCGACGAACCCGCCACCACTCTCAACTTACCGTTCGCACTTCAAGGTCTCGCGCCAAACGCCGTCGTACACGCCCGACTTCACGCCCAACTATGCCTCGGACTTCACCGAACAAGGCGCCGCAGCGCAACGCACGTCCGCATTCCAACCCGCTTGCGAACGCGGCACGCAATCCGAACGTCCGCGCCGCCAACCGCACCCCAACCTCAAGTATGCATCGCTCGCCTACGACGACGACTCCTTGGACGCAGAACAAGAGCGCTACCACATTGATGAAGAACCGCTCAAACACGAGACAACGTACCGCTTCGACGGCGTGGAGTACGCATGCGTGCGCGGCTGTCCCTCTCCATCCGGTCCCCAATAGCCAGAAGGAAGCCATGGCGTCACCCTACTGGCAACACTGGAAGACCGCAGAAGAAACCGAAGTCGCACAACTTGTTGCACTGAAGTGCTGGACCGTGACACCTCCACCCACCGGCCGCAAAGTCATCAAGGGACCATGGACCTACGCACGCAAGACCGACGCCGAAGGAAATGTTGTCCGATGGAAGGCTCGCTGGGTGCTCAAGGGCTTCTCCCAAGTCGCAGGCATCGACTACGACGAGTCGTCATCAAACGTGATCAAGATGACCTCCATCCGTGCGATCTGCGCCCTAGCCACCGCCCGCAACATGGCCCTTGAACAAGCAGACGTGGTCAATGCCTACATTCATGCCAAGTTAAGCACGCCCAAATGGGCAGTCGAACCTGAAGGACACGAAACGCAACCACGATTGGCAGCCTTCGTCACCATGGCGCTCTACGAACTGAACCAGAGCGGCCACGAGTTCGAAAAGCACTGCAAGGCACAAATCGTCGCCCTGGGTTGGCAGCAAAGCCCCCACGATCTATGCGTGTTCACTCGAGGCCAAGGCGAAGACTTGGAAATCCTCGGCACGTATGTCGATGATTTCATCATCGCCGCCCCAACCCACACCAACATGGACACAGCCGTGGAAGAGCTTGCGACCAAGATCGAGCTAAAACGCCAAGGTCCCGTTCACTACCTGCTTCTAATTCGCATCCGCCGCCACCATCAAGGAAGACTGCTTACCATGTGCCAAGACGCGTACGCCGCACAGGTCCTCGAACGATTCGGACTGGCGAACTGCCACCCCGTCAAGGTGGAAAGGCAACGGTTGCGCCGCGATGCTGAAAAGCAAACCATCGCAATGCTGCAACATACCGTCGTCAAGCTCATGGAGACGCGCGACGCGTTGATTTCGTCTCAACCGATCGGCGCGTTGACATGGCATGATGTAGCTGCGGCCCTTGACGACGACGTCGCGGAGGCTCGTCACGAAAACCAGCGGTTGAAGCGACGTCAGCAGCAGCTTTTCGACGTGATCACTGGCATGCAGAGATGGGTCGACACCGTCGGACGGATTCAGGTAAACACTGGCTTGCCCTTCCTCTCATCAGTAACCTGTCTGTCCGTAGCGCGTCCCGCTTCCATTTGATTCGGCTGCGAACAACCTGGGCATGAAGGGCATCACCCTGTCGTCCAATGCAGCCTGTCGCATGCACGGCATCGACTGGTTGACCCAATTGTTGTTTCACAACACGGACGCGATGCTGCAAAAGTACAAGATGGGGCCGACCATGTCTAGCTACGTCCAAGCTGATGCATTCGTCGACGTATCCAACGTCGACGACATTCAACACGTGTGGCGATTCCAAGTCGATTTGCCCGTGTCGATCGCGATCGCGTTGCCGCTCGTTCGCCAGCATGTCGTGAGTCGGTTGAACTCCGTCGACATATCAAGTGCGAACGTCGATTTCATCGACCCAGAGGTACACACTGCTTTCTAGTGCAATTGGTGGCGTCGACGCCGAGCGGTCGTGCCAACACTTGGATCTGTGCGTCGTCTAGCTGGTCAAGGCGGTCGCGAACGACATGACTTACGTTCGCCGCGTGTACAAACGGGCAACCAGCGACGACTTCGCCAACATTTTGTACCGCGAGTTTCAAGGGAATGGTCGGACGGTATTTGTCGGGCAAACCGTCGACGATGAATGGTTTGGGTATCCGACGCAGCTCAAAAAGTCCATGACGTGGTACAGCGCTGGGTAGGATGATGGATGGATAAGCGTCGTCATGTTTAGGATTGTCGTGACCGCGTGGAGCCCCGGTACGACGCGGGTATCGCTCTTGAGCCTGACGTCGTCGTACTTCTCTCGCGCCCGAGGGCAGCTCCCGATCAAGGATCAAGCGAAACGGATGGGTATTCCACCGCATGTGGACGCGGAATCGTACGCGCATGTTGTTTCGACGAAGCGTATGCCTGGCGTGACCGAAGTATGGACGGGGTACTTGAACAACGTGGCCCGGGCTGCGGTGAACGAGACGCTGGGGATGGAGACCTGTACGCCGCTGACAGAAAACCCTCCACATGACACCCCACATTTGAAAAGACCTCGACACCAGACCAAAGCGATGTCGAACGTAGCTTTGGGACGGAGTCGCGCCGATTGTGCGCCGTCCACGTGAATAGAGGTCCCCGTCGACTGCACCTTGCCAATAACAGCTCATTTTGTGGCGCACAGCAGCTTGCAGCTGTTACCGAAGGCGTCGCCTCGCAAATGAAGTTGTGTTCCAATGTCTCACATGCACACCATGGAAACGTGCAAATGCAAAAACCATGTTGTCATGTCAATTTCACATTTCGATGTACTATTTTCAATGAGTCGAGTTTGTTGGTTTGGACGAATTCCCAGTTTAAAATTGCTATAAATTACACAGATTGGTCGCGGCCTCGACACAGCAACACTTGAAATTCGCGAAAAAGACGAAGTCATTGCGATGAAGAGCTGTCGATAGAACTGGAGTTTTCATCGCACGCCAGGTATCGAGAAAAGTAGAGCACCTCTTTACTTTCTCCACAGGCGTAGTTCTGCGAGATTGAGATAGCAACGACAAAGACGAAAATTGTTTATTCCATCCCACATTGCAGCAACGCGATACAACAAAAATCACTTGCTTGAAAATAATGTGTATTCCCTCGGTACAGCGTCGATGATTCGCTGCAAAAATGTGGTGTAATTTGTGAAAAAAGTAATGAGCAGCAAGTATTGCCTGGTATTCAATCTCGAACGACGAAGCCCGCTCCTTCACGTTCAATCAGGCAAGTGACGGAGCGCTGATCGATGCTTGTTTACTTGGAGTTGTTACCAGCAATAAGATTCTCCAGGCCAGCTACCCGACGAAACGCGAAGGTACGAGGACCTCCCTCGAACAAATCGACACCAGAAACCTGATCGAAGTACTGTAGCTGCGTTGGATCGAAGTTGATCGTGCAGTTCATCTTTCCAGTTTAGTGATTGTCGACATTTTTAGTCTGATGTCATGCTCACGTCGCGCGCGCCCCTGGCCTGCTCCGTGGAATGGCTCGAACACTGACTGACTGCATCGTCGGGGCGCGCGATACGTTGACTCAGCTGCAGCTCCTATCGACATGGAGATTTGTTGGGTCTTACAGCGTCGTCGTAGTGTCGATAACGTTTCATTGTGGCAAGTTTATATTTTTAATATTTGATATAGTTTTGCAGCGTTCGAGGCGTCCGTCGATGGTGAAAAGATCCTGGATGACGTCAGAGGTCCTCGGCACAATTAGCGTTATCAACTGAACTGAACTTCGACGGGGGCAGCGCGCAACCAACATGCCGTCGTTCGTGTTTGAACCCGCGCATGAGATTCCAGTCGGATGCCGTCCTCGTGTTTGTTTTCCATCGCAGGACAGTGTGCAATCTCGTTGAGGATGGGTTGGTGGTGCACGAGCTAGAGATCGTTCGTCTAGTGCGTTTGCCATTTCTGGTGATGTGGCGAAGAACTTGTGACGAGTCGAATTTCGTTGCTGTTGAATTGCACAAGCAACTGTGAAAAAAGGTCGAAATAGAAAATAAACCTACCGTTTCCAATTTATCCGGACACCGATCTGCCCGGATAACGACCCAAGATTCATCGCCACGGCATGAAAAAGCGCTCGAGCGACGCCGAGGACACCGCGACGTTGTTGGACCCGTCAAAAATCCGAATCGAAGTGCCATTGGATCCCACGGTCGGCACGATGGACTTGCTTCGATGCGGGGGTAGCAGCGCGAGCACGACCGTACTGTTCCTGCCTTCCGAGTTCCGCGCAATTCGGTTGTATCGGAATGGGACGTGGTGGAAGCAAGGAATATATGCAGTGCTGTGTGTAGCGTCGTGCGGTGTACTGCCCTTGCTTGCGTACTACATGCCGCTCCTCCATGCTGCGTGCACGCTCACGCCGTTGTCGTCCGGAGTGTTTGCTACCATCGTGCTGGTGCAGCACCGCGACAGCGCAGGGAGCTGGGAAGCTGTGCCCGTGCAACGGACGTCCATGAATACCCGTGCATCTTTGGATGATGAAAATGGCCACGAATGGATCTGGTTTACGTTTCGAAAGCACCGCTACGTGTACATCGACGCGACAGCGTCGTTCCGCCGCATCAGCGCCACCGTCCATGGCCTATCCATCGCGTCGGACGTGGTACCTCGGCTACAAACTGGGTTCGTTCACCCAGATCCCGTTGACCGTGTCTTTTGTCGTCCCATCGATTCGCTCCATGCCGAACGTTGATTTTCATGGTGCTGTCCGTAGTCTGTCGGATGATATGGCCGCAGCGCTGCTTCGGCACTTTGGCCCTAACGCGTTGGACATTGCGCTCGTGCCGTATCACCGCGTGTTGATGAGCAAGCTGCTGCACCCGTTCTACCTGTTCCAACTCACGAGCGTTTTCCTGTGGATGTACGAGGAGTATTGGACGTACTCGATCTTGATTCTGGGCATGACCATCGGGTCTCTCGGCTACGAAGTCAGCACCCAAGTTCGAAACACCAAGAAACTGCACGATTTGATGCATATGGACGATATCTTCGTCAAGGTTTGCGTCGTTCCCGTCCATCTTTGAAACGCGATGTTGTCTCCAAGTGCAAACGACAAGAACTTGCTGCTCATTATGGGATGTGTTAGGTTTTACGAAACAACCAGCGCATGTCGTTGCCAGCCACAGCGCTCGTACTTGGAGGTATATCGTACATTGTGGCATGCAGTTGCATGGATGGTGCATTCTGTGCACGATTTCAAAATGCACGAGATCCACGTTGCCGCTTCCATCTCCGTTGTTCATGCCGTTCGTGGCCGGTATAATGGCGGTGGTATTTTGTTTTTTTAGAGTCACTACGAGCAGTTTTCTTGCATGAGTCCGAAACCCGTCGATTTTCCACGTGATTTTTCCGCATTTTCAGTGTTGTAAGCTCCATTACCAGCATTCCCAACGTTTTCGTGGGCCGATGCAACTGTTTCAAATGGTGATCTGGCCTGCAAGTGGCAGGCTCGAATTGGTGTGACAACCTGAAGTGCCTGCGTTAATGGAGTTCACCTAGATGTCGTCGAACTGGACGAAGGCGGAGGTGTCGCGGCAGACATGGTCCTCGTGGAAGGGGCCTGTGCAATGGACGAGTCATCGTTGACTGGTGAAGGTATATGATATGTATGCATACAAGAGTTTGGTCGATCCATTCGCACACTGAAAAAGTTGCCGGCAATGTGTGTTTTGAGCCCGTGATAGCGCTCGCATCATCTTTTACTCCTTTTGACGTCGGACTGCGTAGCTATTCCTGTGGACAAACACGCTCTTCCCTTTGACACGGTGATCGACTCGATTACAACATCGTCGTCCAAAATCAAGGCGTCGCTGTTGTCTGCCGGCTCCACAGTTGTGCGGATGGACGCCGCACCGTGCAAAGCAGTCGTTGTGGCCGTTGGTTTCCACACCTCCAAGGGTACGGTTGTTGCGCTCGAATGCAGTGTGACAAGTTCCACGAGTGATTTGTTTCCTGTTTAAATCCAACCTTGTGGCGGTCCCTCGCGACCGTTTGTTCTTCATTTCTATTGTGGAGAATTCGTGAAAAATCGTCCATGGCCGCTGGTCGACATGGTTTCGCCTCTCGAATACGTTCCACGGAGAATTCAATGTAATTCTGTTGTGATGCAGGTGATTTGTTTCGGTCAATTGTGTGTCCCAAACCCATTCGCTTTCAAGTCGAACAAGACAGCTATCGATTCCTCGCTGCTCTGTCGACGTTGGCCGTGCTCACCGGGATCAAGAATAGCTACGATGCGTACGTGCTTGATGTCGTTTGTGTGGTTGCTCCCTCTATGAGGTGTGTTCCTGTGGTCTGGCATTGGAAAGAGTGTTCTGGTCAGTCTCGTCTTGGTAAAATCTCCCACCGATCGTTCACTCTCCATCGTCAACGAATTTTCGAGTCGCGGCAAGATTTTCCTCCTGCGTCGTTTGTTTGCCGTGCTACAAGGAAATATAAATTCCGTCGCAGCGTGTTCCTTTTTGTGTGCGGGCACATGACATGATGAAGCTTCCAACCTAGTTACTCATATTTGCTTAGAGCAATGCATGGGCTGGGATGGACGCGTATTCTCGTATCGTGTCTCGACTTAGTCACGATCGCCGTTCCCCCCGCGCTGCCGTTAATTCTGAGCGTTGGAGTCGGGTATTCCATCCATCGGTTGCAACGCGATGGCATTTTTTGCATCGACGGACCCAAAATCAACTTGGCGGGCCATCTCAATTGCTTTTGCTTTGACAAGGTATATATATCTGCTCCATCTGGGCATACCTCCGGACTTCCGTTCGCGGGGAGTTTAATGGCGCCACCGTCTTGGTGACAGTGCCTTAACGTCTTGTCGCTGTATGAAAGCGTCGACAATGTATATTGTACATGGTGATATTTATGTGCTTTTGCAGTATCGCTAGCGAATCGTCCAGTCTTAGTGCCTTATTGCCTCAATAATATTTTCCTGACGAGGACCTTGCCATGACGTTCAATTTTGATCGTTGTAGACGGGAACCCTCACGACGGACGCCATGAAGTTTCAAGGAATCGATCTCGCCGTGTCGACTTCAGCTGCTGCATCCACCTGCGTTGACGTTTCTGCCGATGTTGACGCGAGGAGCGTCGCTCCTCTGCCTGGCACACCCATGGTCCCTTCCTTTGAAGGGATGACGTCACTTCATGCTACATCATCCAGCGAAATGCTACATGGGGCTGGAACGTGTCATGGCGTAATAAGCGCACAAGGTCGACTTGATTCGTTGCGTTTTTCAGTCGCATGTGGCCATACCTTCCTCATATGATTTCCCATTCAATTGAATATTCCCCACTACACAGTAGCATACACCTAACAAAATTGGCTGTGGTAGGTGTGCTGGTTGGATCTCCACTCGAAGTGAGCCTCTTCCAGGCGTCGAAACACGTGTGGGACGAAGAGCGCAATGTGATTGAATGCCGCACGACTGGATGTCATTTTGAATATGCCCAGAAATTTGCATTTGACTCGACCTTGCAGCGGTCGTCGGTGGTGTTGAAGGACGGAACGGTCTTCGTGAAGGTATACTTTACTCGGTGCATTCGCCATGCTAACACCAAAACAATTCTGGATGTTGCTTGCGTTGTCAATGATGTCGAGGGAACTCGCAACCCGTGCCACGCATGCTTGATTTGTCGAACCATTCGTGCGCTCTTTTCGTGATTCACTACCCATGAAGTGCAAGAAATAGCACGAGGGACAAATGATTTGGATGATTGATGTGCGTTGAGCGAAAGGTTCTACTTGATATTGTCCACGACTTGCAACTGCGGGCTACGTTTCTGCCTTGGTTCTCCACGGTGCCAACTAGGCGCTGCTTTGACGCAACAACTGCATATTGGGTTTGAACATTTGTGCCGACGATGACCATTACTGCATGTTTTCCAGGGCTCTCCTGAAGCGGTGGCTCAAGTGTGCCTTTCCAACACGCTTCCTCTGCCATTCCACACGACAGTTCATGACTATGCCAAGCGGGGGCTGTATTGCATGGGTCTTGCAACCAAGCAATTGCCCATGATGCACTTCCAATCGAACAACGGGCAGATGGCCAAGTCGTCGTTGATTCCACGTGGAGATGTCGAGTCTGGACTAACTTTTGTGGGGCTTCTGCTCTTCACAGTACGTCGACACTAGAATGTTGCAGATGGTGGTAAAAGGAACTTGTGGTAGAACCCGATCAAACCGGAATCGCCCGCGCTGATCGCCACACTCGAGGCAGCCAATATTGACGTTCGTATCATCACTGGCGACAGCGCCCTGACCGCCGTCCATGGTATGCTTCAACAACATAGGCAACACGATTCCCATCGCCCCTTGTCACTTGTCTCGAATGCAGTTGCTCAAGAGTTGGCCATGGATTTGCGACCTCAAGTGGTGCTGCTGGACGTGAACCACGGCGGCCACTCTGAAGGCGAGAGAAATGCGCTTGACGCCGAGACCCCGACCGTCGTCCTGCGCCACGTTGACTCGGGTGTCATGGAGCCATACTCGATGGATGCCTTCCTGACACTCGGTGCTTCCGTCGATTTTGCGGTACGTGGCTTGTCATGTGTTCGGTTGGCATGCAATGTTGGATATCGAAAACCAAACTGGGAACGATGCCATTGGTATGATTATTGGAATTGGATAGATGACTGGGGCAGCGCTGGAATGGTTCCAGGAGCGTGGAGTCGGAGGGGATGTCGTTGCTGTGGTAGACACAATCAAGATCTTTGCGCGAATTCGCCCCGAGCAAAAGACTTGGCTCGTGGAAACGTTGATGGCCCAGGGGTACGTTTATCACGCGTTTGTGTGGAAGGAGCTCTCCTTGGCGCCACCCACCCGTGAACCGTATTGTTCACTCGAGGCGGTGCACAAATCGAAGTCACTGCTGGCATGGTGCATTCGTTGTTGGCGATTTTTTATTTCCCCCATGGCGTAATTCACGGTTTGGAATGTCCAATCGTAGAAAATACGTCGGCATGTGCGGCGACGGCACCAACGACTGCGGCGCACTCAAGGCCGCGCATGTCGGGCTGGCCCTGTCCAACGCAGAGGCATCCATCGGTACTGTCGATCTCGCCGCCTCCTTCGATCGCATCCATCGTCTCACCGTGGTGTGTGGTGGATGCAGTGGCTCCATTTACGAGCCGACAGCAAAACGTCATGGATGTTGTGACATTAATCCGAGAAGGGCGATGTGCCCTGACAACGTCGTACCTCGGCTTCAAGTTCATGGTGTTGTACCCTGTCACCCAAGTCATCGTGACGTCGACGCTCTACAGCGTCATGGTTACGCTAGGGAATAACCAGGTTGCGGCATTCCATGCGGCCGTCCTCATGCCGTCGCATGTAGTTTTTGCTCGACGACATGGTGATCGTGTTGGGGCTGTCCATGTTTATGTTGTACACTGAGCCAACGCACGTGCTCGCACGCCACGAGCCCGCGTCCACTCTATTTGTACGAGTCATCGATTGGCACGTGGATGGTTGTGGAATTCCTGACTTGGCTGGCATGATGTAGGCACGTTCGATCGTGTGGTCGATCGTCGGCCACGTCTTGATATTCCTCGCGTGTTTTACAGCAACGTGGAGCGCAGGTAGGCATGTCCCCACCGACGACTTTGGTCGCGCGTTCCGAGTATTTCGTGATGGCATGGCGGCACGGTGTGTGCAGCTTGAACACCGTTGGCTGACTTGAACGTCCTGTAGCGCTGCAGGCGCCATGGTACTGCTCCGTGGACCAGGCCAAAGCGCACACTGCCCAGCTCAATGCGACGCCGTTGGTGTCGAACGAGTGCTATGTGTACATGCCACCGCCAGGAGATGGGTACACCCGGCAGTCGCACGAGAACGCGGTCGCGTGGCTGTTTGGCCACTGGCAATTCCTGATTGTAGCGGTCGCCATCAACGCCAAAGACTCGTTTCGCCAGCCCGTGTGGCCCAGCAACAAGTTGTTTTGCGGGTATGCGGTGGCCATGACAGCGCTGCTGACGACGCTGACATTGACGCAAAACCCGGCCGTGTTGAGGTACACCTTGCATGTGGCGCGGCGTCGTGGCGAGCACGTCGATGGACCGGTGTGGTGTCGATAGGTTTTTTGAGCTTGTGGACCTGCCACCAGCGTTTCGATGGCACTTGCTTGGCATGGTCGCCGTGAATGGCGCTCTCAGTATGAGCTGGGAATTTGTCCTGACGAGATATCTCGATCCGTCGCGTCCGCCGCGCCGCGTGGGAGCGTCCATCCGCCTGCCGCACATTCGAGTCGTGTAAATGAAGGGCCTGGCGAGTCAGGCACGCAAGAGCCGTCGAGTTGTCGTCTAAGTAAAACCACACACATTGCGTTGCGCTGGGCATAGCACGAGTCCCACAACCCGCGGCAAGCCCGTGGCGGCAGCACCACGCGGATGGCGTGCAAGGCAAAGCCAGAAGGCGCGCTGGCTACATCCCTGATAACGTGTGCAAACCAGTCAGCCATACATGCACGAGAAAGGCGTTGGGCGTACGGAGCCGCCCGGCGTGGCCAACTTTGGCTTTGGTTTTGTAGGACACATGCTGTTGGGTTCAGTGGAGTGTGCCCTAGTTGACGGCCTTCAACAATTGGCAACGAGATACTCGCGCCATCCTCCACCGAAAACGCTCCACAACTCGATGCGCACAGGATCGAATGCACGCCCTCGGCAAACGACCACTCTCGCAGCCACAAATGCGCAGCATGGACACCGCTTCCCTTGCCACTTCGATCCCACACCCAGCCACAGCGGCGCTTGCGTGTTGAAGCGCAGCGACGTGGCCGCTCAAAACGAGAGGGGGTTGTTCCGCGTCGCTGGGTTGCGTCGGCGGACGTGGTTGCCAGCGACTTCTCTTCACCGAGAGCGTACACAGGGGGAGCTTGCGTGTGGCCCGTTGGTCGCGATGCATGGCGCATCCAACGCCGCCCTCTTGGCCGAGGGATTTTGTGGGCCCGTCGAAGCCTGTGGTAGCTGCGAGGCGCCCACGAAAGCGCGACAGGCAGTTGTCTCCGTCGTCCGAAGCGGCACCCACCAGGCATGTCGCACGACGTTTACGGGCCACGTGCGCCCCGTTGTCGCATGGAGATGCAAGATAGGAAAAGTGGAATATGTATGCACTCTTCAGCTACATCTATCTATTGCCTAGACTAACATTTAATCCCTATGCATAGGAATTGTCACTTATCTCCACCACTACGATGGGTAGGCGTGGCTGGTCTCGCCAGCGGCCCGAGTCAAGTTAGCCAGCGGCACGACGCGGTAGGACGGCGACTGCCCTTGCTCTTTCGTGGCTCTGTGGCCTCAGAGTCTACCTGCAGTCAACACCGTCTTACGACCGCATCGCCGGCACCCTTGGTGGCTGCAGTGCCCTTCGTGCGCCAAAAGATCGATGGCTTGGCGGCAACATGGAGCTAATTTGACCAGAGCACACATGTTGCGTCAACGAGGGTTGACCCTTGTGAACCGGTTTCGTATTCTTCAGCTCACCATTCTCGAAACCACAGCGATCGCCATGGACATTGCGTTGCTTCCCGCGCTCGAGTCGTGGCAAGATGCGTCCTTTGCCACGTTACCGTGGACCGTGCCCGTCGCGTTTTGCGTTGCCGTCAGCGTCTTCATCTCGTACGTGCTTCCGTGTGTGTTTTCGAGCCCGCCACGCCGCTTGAAGCGACGCATGACGACGACCGGTCTCACCACCCTCCTCACGGAGACCGCCACGAACCGAAGCATCCTGTTCTCGATCACGGTGCTGGACAAGATCGTGGCCAAGGAAACCCTCGTGGACCACCTGCGTCCGCGCATGGAACCGGCCTTCTTTGTCCGTTTCCGGTCGCGCGTGGTCGGGAGAGACTTTTGTCTCGTCGAAGATTTCGACGTCGCCGATCACGTGGACGTACACGAGCTAGACGGATCCCAGGACGTTCATCAGTACGCCGAATCGTTGAACAATGCGCCGCTCGACATGGCCAAGCCGCTGTGGATGCTCCATGTTGTCCATAGCGACGAGCAGACGATTCTGCTATGGCGTTTGCATCATTGCCTGGGCGATGGCCAGTCCATGTCGATTTGCTTTATGAAGTTGTGCGACAACGGCCAACAAGTGCTCGACGCCGTGGCTGCACCCCTCCGCCCCCGCGCGCCGCCTATTTCCATTGCGACGCAGGCGGCGCACGTGCTTCAAACGTTTGGTCGTCTTCTGTGGTCCATTGCGTTGTACGTCCGCAAACTCGTCAGGATGATGTGCGTCGGCGAAAGCACACAATACTTCAAGCAACCCGGCCACACGACCAAGCGCCTCGCGTACTCGTTGGCGCTGACTGTGACAGACACAAAGGCCGTAGGAAAAGGCATGGGCGCATCCATCAACGACGTCATGCTGTCTTGCGTGGCAGGCGCGCTCAAACAAATGCTACCGGAAGCGGAGCGCCGCCCGCACATGTTTCTCCGCACAGCCATCCCAATCAACATGCGCTCGGTCACGGATCCGTTCCATACGACAAGCAATGCGTTCAGCTCACTGCTCATCGATCTCCCCGTCGGCGAAATGGACGGCGTCGAGCGCACGAAAATAGTCGTTCGGGCCATGGCCGAAGCCAAGTTGTCCATGGAGAAGGAGTTCACGCTCTTGCTGACCAAGGTGATGGCGGTCCTGCCAGAAGCGATCATGCTCGCCCTCAGCCGCACGTTTACATCACGCGTGAGTGTAGCCGTCACCAACGTCCGCGGGCCGTCCGTCGACTTGTACCTGGGTGGAGCCAAGATCGTCCAGTCCTTGGGGTTCATCCCGCCCCCGCCGTCCGTGAATGTCGGGATCGCTATCACGAGCATTGGCAACACCCTCGGGGTCACTGTCGCCACGGACAAGTCGATCGATGCGGCCAAGTTGATGGCTTCGATCGAGACCGAGTTTCAAATGCTCCAGGCCACCGTCATGAAGGCTGCCCCCGACAGCGCCAGTCGAGTCCACGACGACGGCGGCGGCATCCCCACTCGATGACATGTCTCGCTCCACGATATCGTGTCTTCAATGAAAAATCCATCACATATTAATGTGCGAAGCTCCCACCTCGCCATGATACGTTGGCCGTGTCGAACCCCGACGACACGTGCGGGGGAGCGGGGGACAGATAGCATCCGCGTGGAAGCAGTTGGGGTCGAGTTTCAATGCGTGGATGCGTGTGTTTGGAGCAGCAGGCGTTTGGTACGCGCTCGTCGTGGGAGGGCACAGGACGGGGACTGTAGTCGGGGGATCGGCAGGGAGTCGGCGACGTGATTAGTTAGAGGAGCGTCCCGATGGATGCCACGACGCCTTTACAACCGCCCAACGTCCTGTGGTAGTTGTTGGGACAAGAGTGCCACTGGGGTCGGCACGGGCGCCACTTATGCACACTCGACAGAGCGCCGTTTAACAAATCATGTTTGTGGCCCAGGCCAACGCAGGTCTGCTTTGGCTGACGCAGTTGCCGCCGCCAATCTGGTCGCCAACGGCCACTTGAGCTGGAGTGACTCACGAGGTGGATTCGTCCGGCGGTAGCCAGCGCCTTGGGTCGTCCCATTTTCAGGCGCAGGATGGCGCGAGTGGGGCGGACATTGTGTGACGTCCAACTCTGCCACGCCCTTCAACGCCGTTGGGTCGGTCCATGCGTCATGGCGCAGTATCATGCGACGTCCACCCGGCGAACGGATTCACTTTTCAATTGCCGCCGGGTACGACAACCGCCCTCGCAACATGTCGACGACGACGCTCGCCTCGTGTATCTTTAACGGGTGCACGCGGCCCGCCAGCCTGTCCCTGGATGCGACGTACAAGTGCGCATTCCACTGGCACCGCGCTCGCTGCCTCGCGTCCCCAACATGCTTCAATCAAGTGTTTGCGCGCCACCGGTGCGTCCGCCATGGTGGTCGCAAACAATGCCAAGTGGACGGTTGCTACCTCAACGCCCGCCTCGGGTCCGTCTGCTCCAAGCACGGAGCTTCGGCAGCTATGCGCGTTTGCACACATCCTGGCTGCACGACCCGAGCCAGCGCCCGTAAGAAGTGCATCAAGCATGGGGGTGGTCGGCCCTGTCAAGCGTTCGGTTGCACGGCCCACGCGCGCACTCGCGGGTACTGCCGCAAACACACGACGACGATGACTAAGACGTCGGTTGAACGCCATGCGGGCTGCTTCCCGAACCATGGCATCCCGCGGCGAGAATCCATCAAGCGGCCGACGTCGTCGATCGCCTTCGACATCGCCGACATGAACGACATGCTGCAAATGATCAAAGACGAAGTGGTCGACTGCGAAGAGCCCATCGAGTTCATCCATCCACTCGACAAAAGCACTGTCGATGGCTCGTGGTGGATCGATCCGGACGTCGCGACCGAACTGCTCGAGCTCTTGACGGTCCAAGGAGTGGCGTGTTGATAGCGGCGGCGCCGAGTGCATCTCGCTCGAAATTACAAAGAAATGACAGTGAATAAATAAACAAATTGTGTGATTGGTGGATTTTTTCTTAGGATGTGAACCCGCGTTCATTGACTTAATTGAGTGGAACCCTTCTCGCTCACTGGCACATCCTACCAACGTGGCGACGAGCGCCCCAGTCGCGATCGTATTGCGCTCCTTTTCCACGGAGGATACGTCGTGGGATGCACGCTCGACATTCGCGCCAAATTGCAACGCTTCCGTCGGTTTGCCACATGGTTGGTCGTTGTGTTGGTACAAGACATTTACATGCACGTCTTTGGCACCTTCGCGACACTCTAATCTACGCAGTTCTGTACAATCATCACATGGCTGCTCAAGGATTATCGCTGAATGCAGCGGATGACGCGTTGCAATAATGGTCACGGTGGCAGCTTTACCTCGACACCGGCAACTTTTATCGTGGCGACAATCCTTCATAATCTTTTTGTTGGATATAAAGTCATGGAAAATCAACGGAAATGAACAAATTGCATAAAATTGCGTGGTATTTTATCCAATCAAATTACATTTTGTAAGTTGCACAAAATTCCATCCCCAACTTAGGATGCAGCAAGGACAGTCAGGGCCGCATGAGGTGGCCGAGTCGTGCTTCCTTCAATTATACGCCGAAGCAGTTCGCTCGATGGTACCCACCCTCCAAGACCACTCGCCAACCCCACCCAAGGAGCATTCCATGTTGACTTGCTTTTGTGTCACGGTAGGTGGAGCGGCATCCCACTTCGGCAGAGAAATCGCCCGAGGATGTGTGGACTCCAAGCGACGAATTGACGGCAAAGCTCGAAGCCTTTGGGTACGACGTCGGGTACCGCTTCGTGGAGCGATTCTCCCGCGACCGTCCACGCATGTTGGAGCCGCTCGACGTGATCAAGTTTCTGTGCAAGGACTTTTGGATCCACATTTTCAAAAAGCAGATCGACAAACTGCAGACGAACCATCGGGTACTCCATATACGACCCATGTACTCAAATTGGCTCTGCATGCGCAGCACACATCCATGGCCCATGACGCCGAGGACACCAGAGTCTTACGACCGTCGATGGTCATGTAGGGGGTGTTCGTCCTGCAGGACTTCAACTTTCGATGGATTCAAGCCTTGTCTGGTGAGAACGACGCCGAGTCGAAGCAAAAGGCACTCGTCTTTCTCATCTTTCCGTGTGGACTTCTTCGCGGCGCGTTGGCGAACCTGGGCATTTTGGCCATCGTCAATGCCGATCTGAATGCCGTTCCAGGATGTACGTTGCATGGAGTGTTGCTGTGTGTGCAGCTCATTTTTGTCGTCGAATTGGTCGTGCCTGGCTCGTTTGGCATTGACCCATCGCATCATGACGTAGGCGTGTTCAACATTAAGCTGCGATAAGCATGATATGTCGTGCCCAACATTGACCATCGGCTTGGCCACAGGCGCTTCCACGGCCAGGGATCGACGTGGTTCCTGCCTTTCTCGTACAGCCGGGGGGGGCTTTTGCTGCCTGTAGCACGGTTCGATCACGGTGTGGCATGTTGAGGGCGGCAAGGATCCAGCGTCGTCGTGCTTCCACCATTTCCGTGCGTCAGCACCATGGGTCGAAGCAGGTTTTTTCAACCAATTCAAGATCGTTTCGTGGCGTTCGCACAGCACTGGTACCGTCTTTCCCATGCATTTCGTACGACCAAGTGACGTGCATCTCGGATGCATTGCGTGAAAGCAGCCTCGACATGAGCTGGCCCCCGCCACGACTCTGGTTGCTCCACTGGTGCGCTACCTACATCGACATCGCAAGCAATTGTCTCCTCCGCACGGCGGCGCAGCAAACAGCGACCGCAGGACTGCTTTTGCCTCGGAAACACAGCACGTCCATGAGATTCGATCGATGCATTCATTCGTTCCGAGTTGCCAACACTCAACTCACGACTCGTCGGCTGTACCGCACGACAGCGACGTGTTGTACTGCGCAATAAACTGGTCGAGCTCGTCCGTGTGACCGCCGACTGCTTTTCCCTTTGGAATGTGGTCGGGCCGCAACAAATCCACGATTAACACACACCTATCCAGTTGAGTCGAACACGGCATCGTGTCGTGCGCTTCGTTGCCGTACCGACTCGCTGTGGGGTGTTTGTTGTAGGCATAATGCAGCTTGCTATCGTCAAACACGAGCAGCTCGCCGGTGGCGTGTGCACGGGCTTCACCAGCGACCACCACACAGCAGCAATCGCCAGACGGGTTTCCACTGCCACCGTCGCGGACTGCATTGTCTTGTCCAATCTGGTCCGGCGACCTGTCCAAAGTCGGCACATCAAGGCCCAAATGCACCCGCAGAATATCGTTTGCCAGATCGGCCCAGCCCTACGAAACAGGATATGCATTCGTTGGCAAACTCGCCTGACGACGGCGCCAACGGTCCAAACACTACTTTGAAAGCAACGAGCACATGCCATGGCCGTCTAGCGCAGAGAAAATGCCTTCGCACCACCAATCGTTCAAGGACTGCACACGATAGCGACCATTCGCAACCCAAAAAGACAAAACATGCCACAACGGCCGAATCGTTTGCACGATCGACAACGCGACCGCCATTCTTTCGCAAACGCGATCAAGACAGCATCCATCCACACGCTTCGAATCGCTTGCACGCGGCACCAAACAGCGTACCCGATGGGCGCCCAAGTGGGTGTTTGGTCCCAAATTCGAAAACAACGCGGTGCGAAGGTTCGGCAGTTGCCTGAGCAACGCGACCGTTTTCGGACATTGCGCACACGTTGGTTCGACCCACACTGTTTTCGTGGCATCCCATGCTGGGAACGTGTAGCAGAGCGGAAAAACACGCCATTCGCCATCGTTGCCAATGTAGTGATCTTCGGGCCAGTTGGGCCAGGACGCGACGAGCTGGGCGGCAGCGGCTTCGGCTTGGATTGCGCTGACGTGGCGCTTGAGCAATTCGAGGTCCGGAAACACCTTTCTACACATTCGAGCAGTGTCGTGGGCCCTGTCAAGCGGCGAGATCGCAGTACTTGTAGTCAAAGTAGCTCTCGTTCATGGCATCGTCAATGTCGTCCTCGTCCTCCTCGTGATGCGTTTCGCCACCGTCGATGACGTTATCACAGCTGTCACGAGGAGAGTTGATAACGTCATCTTCCAACTCGGGATCGACCACCGAATGCCATCCAAACAAACCAAAGTGCAAACGCCCCAGGCGCACGGCTTCGTACCGACGCGACTTTTTCAGCGTCAACAGCGCTCCGTACTTGGCGACGTCGGCGGACCCCACGACGTCGACTGTTCTGCCAGACACGCACCGTGAGGAGTTGCTGCAGTTCCTACGACCGCAGAAAGATATGGGCTACACGTACTTGGCCGACGTGAGCTTGGCCGCAATCGTCGCTGCGTGCGATATGTCTTGCTCAAAGTGCAAGTCAAACGAAGGATGTGATCGGATGTGGCCGAGAAACGACGCGTCGAATGGCTGATGCGCGTCGAACGTTGTGTAGAAGTCCGCAACGAGGAGGACGCCCTGCGGCTTTAATACGCGCGCTACTTCTGCAATCGCGGCATCGGGGTTGTCGTTCATTTCCTGGAAGCTCTGGACACCCATGACAATGTCGAAGCGATGCCGTGCAAACGCAGACATTCGTTGGAGCTCCAGGTCGTAATGAAGGACGCCGCGGTGTGTCTTGTCGACGTGAAAAAGACGCTTGTGCTGCTTGACGGCAACTCGACTCTTGTCAATGCCACATACAACGATGGGAACTGAAGGAGCGCGGGCGCTGAGTACTCGAGCAATCAAAACGAGACTCGCCCCGATTCCGCATCCGACGTCCAGTACATGCACAGGACGTGTCTCAGATGCTGCACGCTCGAGAAGATGCAGCACCCGAGGTTGCGTGAGCAGGGCGAGGTAAAGCTGCTGCTGATGCGGCTGCACCAGGGCGTGCATCTTTGGGATCCCCATGGACTCGGTGTCCACCGGATGCAAACCCATGTTGACGTACTGAAGCGCGCCACTGAACACAGCTTCGCATGAATACAGGTCGTCGTACGAGTACGTCTTCTCGGGAGTCGGAGTGGACGCCGCCATCATGATCGACTCGGCAGTCTGTTGCTTTTGTTTGCCCGTGTGCAAACATTCCTATCAGGGATATCACACTAATTGGTTGTACAACCTTTCACACTAATTTGTCATACACTACATCAGGTTGACATTTTATCGCATACTCAAACACACTATTTTGTCGTACACTTGACTATAGTAGCTGTCATACACTAAATGATAGGGATCGACTGAAACATGGCTTACACTATATATCATGTCAGCACAAAGCTCTAACACTATATCATGTCACTATGACCCACTGATGTACACTATTTTTTTGTGTGCACTTGTTTTATCTGAAGCTCACATGTCCTGATCATGCATGCGCAGGCCCATGCCTGTGCCAGGTTTAAGTACATTGGCAAGTTCATGGCGAAAGGTTGGCGCGCTCTGTGCTGTTTCGAGGGCTAGACAAAAGAAGTGGAGTCGCGCCATCACCGATATCGTTGCTCCTATGGTTTCCTTGTGTGACGGGAAGGCTCGAGATTGGCATTGAAATTGTCACCTAATCGACGGCGTCAAAGGCACCCGTCGTTGTGAAGTGGTTTCTGCTGGATGACCCAGTGACGCAGTCGAATGTGCTGTGTGTACGAACGTATGCACTCAAGGCAAGACGAGCTGCTACTTGTTCAAAGCCAAGATCGTGCACGATGGAATTTTCTCGGTTGACTTGACGTGGCGACGATGACAATGAGTAGCGCAAGGAGGATGCATTTTTTATAGTACCAATCCGCCTTGCACATGCAAATCCTGACAGAGCCGCTTACACGCTCCCATGTCGGCATTACGCCGATATCAATCGACAAGCAGCTTCAACGGCCAAGCCCATCGATGCAAAGAACGCAATGAACCCTACCAACCATCCATTCCTGTCAAAGCCGATTGCAGAACGTGCGAGATTTACCAAATGCGCCATATTGTCGCTTCCCAGGCTCGCCCGTGGAATACCCAATTACGTACACAACAAACCCCACGACGCGAACAAAGCCGGCAATGGCGGCCCAAGTTGGTCGATACACCCTGACGAGTTGACCAGGTAAGAACGTGGCGCATTTGCTGGATTGTACGTACGACGACACGAAGAGCAACGCCAAGAAGACTGGCAGGTTTTCCAGGACATTTTGATGTGCTCGTTGGTAACAATTAAACTCGTGGCAGTGCTCGTCGCTTTTTTCGGCATACATCTACAAATGGAGTCGGTCAGTCGTATATTCCCAACGTATCGTAGCAGTGGGAAGGAAATGTGGTTTTACCTGGGGGTAATTGATGTTGAATTTCTTGCGGGCGCCAAGAACTCGCACCCCTGCCCAAAAGTTGACCACCGCCACGAGGACGACGACAAGGATCACGTAGCCGTGTTCGGGCTGAAGAGTTGGCGCCACGAATGCCATGATACGAATTTTAAAATGGTCCACCAAGCGTTGGCTAGCTCCATGGGACGTCAGGCCCTCCCCTGTTGGTCACGATGCCGCCGTCGTGGCGCTTCAAGTGATTACGACAGATCGTAATCGCCAGGGCTGTATTTTATTATCCACGTTGTTCTTTGCGTTTACATTGTCCATTGAAACTTTTATTATATTATTCCGTCGCGTCTCGAAAGTCCGTCACCATCCAATGGAAACCATGCATGCTATTTAATGATGGCGTGTTGTTGAAAGCATCCGAGTGTTGTGATGTCCTCCTGCGCAGCATGCATCTATTGCATGCATGCCTTTTCATCGTTATGAGCCACGTGAAACACCTCACTCGACGACCGTCGATGGCCTCTATGAGGGTTTGATGGATATACCTGGTCATGATGCCCACTCGACCAAATTCCCAGTGTGGGACGTGCATTTGCCCACGCTTGAGAGGGGTTGGAAGATTTTAAAATTACTAGCTCAAGTACTGGCTATAGTCCAAAACATAAAAATCATGCAATAAAAATACATTGATGATGGTTTTGCCCCAAAGTACACATCGTGTAAAACGTCAAATTCGCGGACGATGCGACGCCAAAGAACGTACGACATGACACATTGCACGCATCGTGAACATCATCTTCGAACGCTCCATCCAACGACAAAATGGCATTTGCCGCGCCTGCTCTCCAACCTGAACATGGCTATGTGATCCTTGTCGTGGTCCTCGTGGCGGCTGTCCACGTGTGGGCCGGGATGCGCGTTTTCGCCGCGCGTCGTCTGTACGGCATTGCGTATCCCCAGGTAACGACGACGATTCTGTCGTGTTGCAAATGAAGTTGCGGGGTAGATGTATGCGGAAACCAAGCACGAGCACTTTTTGGCGTTCAACTGCGTTCAACGCGCTCACCAAAACGTGGTGGAGAACCTCCCTGTCTTCCTCTCGCTATTGTTTGCTTCGTCGTACGATTCCTGTCGATATGAACCGATGTTGAGCATGTTTTCCTAGTGTGTACCGTCCGCTTGCCGCTGCGATTGCTGGTCTCATTCGCGTGCTTGGCTTCGTAGCCTACGTCCACTTTTATTCATCGGGCGACCCGGCCAAGCGCCAATACGGATCCTTTGGCAACATTGGCATGCTCATCCTACTCGGTTTGACCTTTGAAGCTGCATACCGCCTCATTTCTGCTTAACACAATCACGCATGAATATCACGACTGCTTTGTTTCGTTGCGCTACCAGAATGACGAGAGGTCCAGAGTACAAATGATCATTTCCAGTTCAAATGCGCACAACTGGCAACAAAACCTTGGGCAGCGATCTGGAGAGGCATCTGAACTGACGGAACGTGTCTGCATTCCACGACCAGTGGGGAATAGGCAGAGTCCTCGCACATTTGGCATGCCGTAAAGGTATCCCTCTTTCGGCGAGCACGGCCATGATCCAGTGGTCGGAGTTTCTATCCTGCATGTAATGGAAGCGCGCAAAGCGTTGACGCAGTTCGACTACCTTGCATGTGATGGGCACGCTGACACTGGATCAAGTGACCTCTTGCCATCGGATTAGCGTCGAGCTTCCAATTTAATCCTTTCGATCGTCCATCGCAATGAGCGAGCATGGTGGAGGAGAGCCAAAGGCATGCAGCCCGTGCTCTGGCCAGCGGTGCAGAAAACGACAAGCGTCTCATGTGATGGTGGACGAGCGATGCAATGTTGTTTCGAGTTCATTGTCGTGGTTACATTCATGCCGACAGGAGTCGAATCGCAGCTTCGACGGTAAGACCAACAGACGTGGCCAGCCCAAGGTAACCAAACGTTCCGAGTTGACGCTTCTCGGGCACTCCCGTCGAGTAGAAGTGAATGTACGTGATAAATCCGAACACTCGAACGAGGCCTGCAATGGCAGCCCACCCGGGTCGGTACACGCTACCACGACAACGAAACGATCAACCAAACGAAATTGTTGGGGACGTGCACACGTACGAAGAGGAAACAAGTAGCGCAAAGAAGATGGCGAGGTTTTCAATCACGTTTTGATGGGCGCGCTGGACGCAGTTGAACGCGCGAAAGTTTGCGTCCGATGTTTCCGCATACATCTAAGGAGCACATCAGACCCTCGAGCAATCGTGATGTCGTCGAACGTACTTGAGGGTAATGGATGCCGTACTTGCTTCGGGCGGCCCCGACTTTGAAACCAGCCCATATGTGGACAATTGCCATCAGAACAGGGATCAACAGCACGTAGCCATGCTCGGGTTGAAGAGTGGGCGGCACGAACGCCATGATGTTGTCGAATGTGGTGGGGCGAACGAGAGAGAGTTTGATAATGGCGTTCTCGACAATCGTGATGCGCAGGACACGCATTTGATTCAGTGATTATGTTGCAAGGCGCGCTGTCGTGAACGCCCCACATGCAGACATCTCTCGACCCAGACGGAGCCAGACTTTGGCACACTTTTCATGGGCACCTCTAATTCCCCTAGATCGTCTGCTCTCTGAAGTCTGGATAATAATCTCAGACGTACTACACCGCAGGACAAAAGGTTTGTGGTGCACTTGGTTTTGACTCGAAGCAAAGTCAATATTTGACCAATCAGAGTGCGTACGTACTGTTTTAAGCAAGTTCATCTAATGCATTACTAGTACTAGTATACTACTAGTAGTATAACTTTTCTAGATGATGACAGCGGCCAAGGCCCCGTGGGACAGCAACGAAGAAAAACGCTTCCGATAGCTGTGTGCGGCGCCAAGCATGGCATTTTCTGGATGAACGGGATGGACTCCATAGCACCACAAACAATCGAGCCTCTCTAACGTTTTGTTTCGTCTTGTTCTGCATCCGAGCGGGCACACTGGTCCACCACACACTGCATCCGCCTGGGCTGCCGTTTAGTAGCAGTGCAGTTGGTGCCACGATGAGCCGCACAACAATTGAGTTGGCGTGTGTCGCCTGCGTGCATGCCTTGCCAACATCACGATCCGTCACGGCAGATTTTGTTAGCACGAAGCCCGTTTCGATGGGACGATGCAGGCTTCATGTGGAGGAAAAAATCCGCCGTACTGCGATGGACATCTCGACGGGTAGTACGTCGTCGTCGTGTCGGAGATGACGATTTATGTGGTGGCCGTGACCATCGGCGTTCCTTTTAAATCGGGTGCCTAGGTATCGATACGAGTGACGTGGGCATGGCTGATGTCGGCGGAGGAAGTGATCCGCCTCCACAACAAATCTGGCAACAAATCTGGAGTAGTTTAGGCCGCACCATGTCCAACGGCAAGATTCTCTTGAAATCGCCCCACATCGTGTACGTCGTCGACGTGCCGACAACGATCCGGTCCATATGACCCGTTGGCGCCCCCGCACTCGGTCCATCCATGCGTTTGAAGCGTGACATTTGTGTTGAGGGGCAAGAATTTGTGGTCCAGTGCAGGCAAGCTGGCGGCTTGCGTCGTTTGCGGTGGATAGCGGCATGCGGGAGATGCTCATGCTTGTCGACGCAAACGCACTCGACGGCAGTGGGGCCGTTCTATCCATGAACAATCCACCGCTCCGTCATGCTCGATGCTCTGCACTACACACGGGACGTGCCGACATGCCGCCGCAGCCCCCTCCTCGTTCTTTGTGCTCGCCCCGACTCGAGTATGTCGTGCCGTGCACAAAGGTGGCTCGGTGTGTTACCGGGTCGCTTGTCGCCATGCCGTTGGTCGACCTGGTCGGTGTCGACCCAAGGCGATCATAACATAACGCCGTCGTCGCAGTGATTGGGAATCCTCTCGACAGCGTGCGTGGGACGCCAGTGGTCCACTCCATCGACGGCGACACGTCCGTAATCGGAGTAAACATTGTCACCCATGGCGCGCATGCGCAAAGAAAGCGTGCATGCGGACCACTCGCGTCGACGTTGTTGCGCACGTGCGCAGTCCCCGTCATATCATTGCAATCGGTTCAGCGAACCCCGAAAAAAGCCGTCCACCTCCAAAACATTATCTGTTCTAATGTCTTTGACCACCTGTATATTTCAATACCAACGTAGAATACTATTCTTTTTGACCAATTGCACTTGTAGATACCATTGGACCTGTGCTTGACGGACAGAAATTCTCCTTATTATAGCCAATCAAATTGGGCTGACACACCGAATGTAAAAAAGATAATGGTGCCTCCATGCAGTGTCAAGATGAAAAAATATCGGGTTTTTCCCATGGTCCTGAACTTTTTTTTTGTCCGTGTTTTTCGGGGATTGCCATGTGCTCGAGGAAAAACACAACTCGCTGGCGAGTTTGCCGCCATTCGGTGGTGGCCATCAAACACAGGAAGCGGCGATCGAGCCTTCACCCAACACAAGCTCCCCAACTCGCTCGACGTGGATGGTTCTCGAGGGGGGGGCGTTGCCAGGTCAACGGTACCCAGTGTCACACTCTGTCCAGGCAACAGACAAGCGGCGAAAACGCAGCAGCCACGAGAGTTTACTACCTCTCCAACAGTCGGTGGACCCCACCACCACCCACCGTCCACTACCACGTGTTCTCGCAACAGCAAGGGATGAGAGTACAGTTTGGCCAAACGTCGCCAGCAGGTGGAGCACGTAGCGCAGCAAGCCAGCGCCAATATCCAGCGTAACTCGAGCTCGGGGTTGAAAAAGTCCGACGTCATCGGCATGGGCGCGATGCATGGACGTCGCAAAACCGCGCGTGCGCGAGGATGGAGATCGACCGATCATCGCGCGTCGAGAGACAGACATGTTGCCCTGTGCACCAGACGCGACGACTCGGGCCCGAGGCGCATGGCATGCGACACATGCGCGGGAATCGAGCGTTAGCGCACGCTTTGTCGCACGTGTGTGACCACGACAAGAAGATTCGAGGAAACCGACCGGGTGGGTCGCTGAGCCCGCGGCATACAGCTTGGACGACGCATGGCGCCCGCCTGTTGTTCCGTTGCCCTTAACACGAAAGAGTCGGGCAGCGCGAAGGCGGCGCCCTCACGATTCGAGTCTTCACGAATGCAGCGATCGCGCGTCCCAAAGCCAGCGCCATGTCGCGTCTTTGTAACTCGGCCCGTGACCATCCCCTTCCTCTTCCGTAAAGGTCCAAGGTCCCGCGGCTGCCACCATATTCGCTCGATCGACCCGTCGTCGCTCGAACATCCAGCGCGTTCACGGGATGCATGGAGACCAGCAGGTCCCAGCGCGGCGCTCGGAATGTATCCGGGCGACCGGGAAGTGTGACAACATGGTCTGGCTCGTGATGTTGGCGAGTCACATGTTACACCGTGGGCGAATCGTTGGCCCAAGCAGCCAGTAGCGACCGATGCTGTCGCGGATGTAACTCTGTTGGACGTGGCGGCGCCTGACCGCGACACCCATCATTCCCACACGCTTGCAACCTAGGTGCTACCGATTCAGTTTGGCATTTGACGTCCGTCTCCCATGAAGAACCTATTTCGATCGTTGGAGACCCAGCGGCCGTCGCTCCAGTCAGGGCCGCATCGATACGAGCCATCCCTGTACTTATCCAAGGCCGACATTTCGGCCATGTTCCCCCCAGAAGTGCCGCCGACGCTTTGCCGACGGCAGTCGTTGGTGCTCGACGAGCGCCGCCGACGACGGAGCGTCCTCCACCAGAGCAGCGCGATGCGCACGACCAAGGACCTCGTGTCGTATGAGCAGTACGGCGACTGCTTGGTGGATGTTCGAGCGGTCGTGACCCACCACCGACACAGCAACGAGCCGCGTCCGCCAGCCAAAGTCGTGCTCTTCCACGCATCCCAATACAGCGACGACGATCGAGCAGAAGACCACCATCGCTTCCGCCACTCGATGCCGGCCCAATTTTGTTATTAAAATGCGTCAACACAATTACTATTTTACTTAATATTACCCCCCGCGTGTGGATCGAATGACGAGCGATGCGGACGTCGGTACGTCCAGTGCCATGGCCGCATGGAAGCGATGCATCGACGTGCTTGTCAGTGGAATAATGCACTCGGTGCATGCCACCAGCGTAACGCTGGGCATTGTGCCACCATGCCCTTCTTTCCTTGCCAGACGACGTTCCATGTCGAATCGAGTGGTTGGGGCATTACGCGGCGACCCCTGTTGACGTGGATGAAAACGCCACCCAGCACTTGCTCCGAATCCCATATACGGGTGTGCATCGCCACCCACTCACCACCAAGCATGCGGCTGGAACACACCGCCACATACCCACGCATGGCGTTCGACATGTGGGCAGGATACGTCCCTGCCCACCTCGATGCAGTCGTGTGCGCCGTGCATTTCACATTGTTGGCGCATCGTTTGCATCGAACTCGGCGCGTCCGCCTCGCTAGGGCGATGGCTCTCGATGCATATACGCTACCGCAACGTTCCTGTGTTTCGTGGGTCTGGATCGTCGTGCTTGGTTGGGCAAGCACCTCCCGTGTTCATTTGCGAGTTTGCAACGCTTGCGACTTTTTTTGTTTCCAAGGGTGTGCGACGTGGTTGTCCGAGGCGCTGGCACCACGGACGCGCCGACGGACGCAGGTGCTGCACGGACAGAACGTCGAAGCTGGTGGCAACGGTTTGCATTTACAGTGAATGACACGACTGGGATGGCATCGAGTGCCGTGACCTGCCAAAGTCGGCGCGGGCGTCGACCGCCGCGATCTGCTCTTCGTCAAACAACACGACATTGGCGTAGCGGGGAAGCGCAGGCACGCGGGTTTGTGTGGGGGACATGGCGACGTGGGGGTCTGCAAGAATCGCGCGAGTCGCGTCCGTCTTGTACGTGAGGCGCAGGAGATTCCTCCCCAGGTCTTGCGCGTGTCGTAGAATCGTGCGTAACCTGCGCTGCCGCTCTTCCTGGACGAGCACGTGCCGTCGCTCGAGGACGAGTTGTCGAGGTGGGCCTACCGTCATGGCTGTGTCCAGGGGAAACATCGCCGCGATGTCTGTTCTCGACAGTTGAAGAAAAGGTCGATACGGCTTGGGCGAGGACGGCAGCGACGGCCGTTGGTCCTCAAACTTGCGAAAGATGTTCTTCATGACCAAAGGCGCACTGCCACTTGGCACGCGTGGCGGACGATAGGCTGTCCCGTCGTCAACCACACGCGATGCTGCAACCCATTCATGACGTGTACTCAAAAAGGTGGCCCCTCCCTCTTATTCGCCAGCACCGCGTTCGGGCCTGTAATGGGTTCAGTTTGTGGTGGCGGCGCGCGGCGACTCGAGCCATATCACTCGATTTGGGGCTGGCGGGTATACTTTGGCCATGCGACCGCCCTCGGTGCTGGCCCGAGCCCAAGCACGACGATTCCGCCGCGACGCATCGTGGTCCTAGAGGCCATGACACGTGTGTCTTACATGCATCGCGGCGTCGAGAGTGGTTTGTCCACGATTCCAACGAAACATTGGCTCTACCGAGTCGACACGATGGCGCCAGCGACAACCCACACGGCGGTGAGGGGGGTGCTGGGTGTGTAAAGAAGCGCAGACGTCGTGCGTCGCGGCGGGTGCGGTCGCGTGTGGCGTGCACGGAGCATGGTCAGATTTCCACGTTGGTTTCTGACGTGTTATGTACAGTGATACCTCACATTTTGCACCATCTCCAAAATATAAATTCTAACAGACGGATGGAAACCCAAAGAAAACGACCTCTGAAGACTTTATACATCAAGTACTTGACGTCGAATCATATTATGCAGTTTATTCATTTTGAGTGGGGTGCAAAATGTGAGGTATCACTGTAATCGAAACGGGAAGATTCGACCGAGGCTGCACACGCTGCAAAATGACAGCGCGGCTCCATGACTCGCGCCGTGTATGTGCTCGAGGACGACACCACAGCGACACGTGGCGACGTTGAGCATCATTGTTCACGACGCCGCTGATACGTCTTGTCGCTGCATGCGGCGAAACACGTAGCCTGCGATGGCGAGGCTGGCGCGCGCCGAGCGAATGCACTGCACGACGATCATGGTGGGGATGTCGGTCAAGAAGGTACAGCATCTCCGTTTTGGCGCATCCATGCCAGCAGGTCGCGTCGCGACGGATGTGGGAGGCCGACAGCATACACCCAACTTCATTGTCCACTGCTTCTTGTCGTCGAATGCACGTGTTCCATCGGGGTCGACCGCGCCACGGACCCCCCCCCCATCAAGCTGCTTTTTCGCGGCGTCCCGCGACCGGAGCATGCGCTAGTCTCGCCCACATGTCGCTGGACCAAGCATTGCATCCTGTTGGATTGGTTAAAATCATGTCATTTTCGTCCACTCATTGTGCGCCATTCCCGACGCAGCCCAGATCGTCACCTGCGTTCGTGGCAGCGTCGGGCTCCTCCGCGATGTCTCACGTTGAAAGGAGACAGATTGTGTTGACCAGAGGTCTGACCAAGGCATGGGCAAGTTTATCATTGTGGGTGGTGGTCCCGTGGGGTGTTTGGCAGCGCTGCAGCTGGCGCATCAGGGCCACACGGTCACGGTCTACGAAGGCCGGAGCTACATTCCAACCGACCCGAGCGAGAGCTATCCCATCGGAGTGAACCCGCGAGGGTTGCATGCGATCGAGTCCGTTGCGCCTCAAGTCGCCCAACGTATTCGGTCGGAAGGACACGTCGTCGATGCATGGGAAATCTACGCTGGTCGTCGTCGTGTCGCCAAGCTCGAGTCGGGGGTCGTGTACGGCACGTCCCGCGGCAACGTGAACTTGCATCTGTGGGAAGCATGCCAAGGACACCCCAACATTGAAGCGCACATGCGCCACAAGCTCAAGTCGATGGATTTCACCGCGAAATCGCTCACGTTTGAAGTGGTTTTCCCCGACACGTCGCCGTCCGAGGTGATCGTCGACGCGAGCGAAGCACGGGTGGTGGGAGCCGATGGCGTGCACTCCACTGTCCGCGCCAGTATGCAGCGAGCCGACCCTTCGTTCTCGGCAAAGGTGACGCCATGGGCAAATGAATACCGTGTTCTGTTTGGGGCTGTCGGGCAGCTCACGGCAGAACTCGACCCCGCCGTGCACTACATTTTTAGCGGGGGGTACACAGCCACCATCGACAACGGCGGCACCAAGCAGTGGACGTTGGTGACCACCGTTCGGGACTCGGATCCCGACGACAGCGTGTCGCAGCTCGTCCGAGAGACGGACGCGAGTGCCGACAACGTGGCGAAATTGAAGGCGTGGATTCAGTCCATTGCGCCGCAGTTCCTCCAACTTTTGCCGCCTGGCGAGCTCGAGCGGTACTTTGCCCGCCGCACGTACCGCGGCGCTGTCGTCGAATGCACCAAGTTTGACGTCCACGAGTGGGTTGTACTGTTGGGCGATGCCGCGCACTCGGTGCTTCCTCCCACTGGCGAGGGCATCAACAGCGGGCTAGAGGATACCCTTGTCTTGGCATCGTGCACTGGCGGTACCTGTGACGCTCCGTTTGCCGCTTACACGAAGGCGCGGCTCCCCGACATCTCGTCGATTCTAGTTTACGCCAACCATTTGAATGCCAGTCCGTCGTTTGCGGGCGAGCGCGTGGCAAGGCTCGTCTTCATGCTTGCCGAAAGCTCGTCCAACGAAAGCATCGGCCAGAGTTTGTTTGGTCCGCTTGGCATCCACCACTGGCCGTACAAGGCCATCGTCGACAAATGGGCAAGGCGACGGCTCTTCTGGCTCAACGCGGCGCGACTTGTGACGTATCCGCTGTCGGCAATCGCGTGGGTTGTGATGCTGCCGCTCCAGGTGTGTCGACCCAACGCGAAGAAAGGTGCTCGAACCGTGGTCATTCAAGGCGTGGTGTAGCATGGCACGTCAATGCGAACGGTGGCTGGAATGGTCATGCGAATGCCCGTAACTAGTTTGTGCCGATGGCACGGGGGGGGGCTCGACTCGAATCCACGGACGCAACTATTCCGCACAAGTCGTCGCCGGTTGGGTTGGCGATGACCGCGGCCTGTGCGACATACGTCCGCGATCGATCCTTCAATGGGTATCTGCGTTTGTCCAGCGCGTCGAGAGCAGGCGAGAAAGCAGGTCTTAGCGTAACGTGGTCCTTGCAGAAAGGTTTTACGTTTCGATGGAGGCTGAGCTGTCGTGCTTTGGGGCAGCCTGGATCACGTGACAGGATCGACTACGTGTCGGTGAATTGTGTCTGCTCATGCAGGAGTTGACTTGGACGATGCGTTCGGACTTGGACTAGTCAACTGAGGTCGTCGCGGACACTTTTGTAGACAGCTTCGTCGCCCCGTTCTAGTTCGTTGTGGATCCAATACGTCGAGGAGAATTCCAAGAGCCAGGTGCAGGCACAGGTTGAGAGCGCATTCTTAAGTGCCCATGAGTGGAGTCGCCATCGTGAACAGTGCATGACAAGGAGTTCGCCCCGACTCTATGTCGTCGCGATGCCGTGGCAACGATGGCGTCCGCCATGGCCACGGTGAAGCAGAACAATCCTGCGCCAGGAGGAATCCCGCTCACTCGGATTGAAGCGACCAGAATTACACTGCAGCTGACGTTCCACGAGTCGTTAGGTTAACGATCTGAGCTGGAATGACAGCAACTGGTCGATGTTGATGGCTCAACGCATCACGGACGATGGTTTCTGCTGCTGTGAGGCAATAGTGGCTCGAGTCAGCCCTCGTTACGTCGTTTTCATCGAGCATGCCAGAGCCACACCAAGAAACGCACTGGTCAAGCTGAAGTACACAAACCCCTTGGTCTGTTGCTAGACAGCAGCAGCATAGCACGTGGCTTTCATATCCGCCACATACTTGTGCCACTGGGCCGCATGAAAAAGAGCCCAGAACGTCGGGATGGCCGCGACGTGCATCTTTGCGTCGACATCGCGTGGCATCACACTCCAATCGACACGGTGTTTGTGGAGGAGGCCGACCAAGCACGTCACACAACATTTCACATTTGGAAACGTTGGTTAACTGTCGATTCCACCCTGCGCAATGTCTCGAGCAATACTGACACTTATTTCGCTGCTCGACAACACCACGCGCGACTCGGCTCATCCCCAGGGCCACATGAGCAGGGAGTCGCGCTGCCGTCCTCTCGTCGAGGGAATCGCCGCACGTCGCCACCCCCACGAAGGTGGCATCTACATGACCTCCTGTGCCATCGGCAAAACAGGCTCCCGGTACACACGATTCAATAGGCGCCCGCAGGAAGACTCATCGGTGCAAAAATCGTGCACGACCAAATTTCGCTGCCAATTCGGGCAAGGTCGAGAGCACTTGCAGTTTCGTGTTCGGTAGGTTATTCATATCGCGGCTGTTGACAGGGTGGCGCAGCATGGTGTCCAGGTAGCACGTCCTTTCCGATACAAGTGACTGTGTCGAGCCAGCCATCCATGCCCACATCATGGACAAACAGCCTCCCTCGAACACAATCCGTCCTCTGTCCGTTGTATGATCTCGATGGTACTTGATCCACCGCCGAGGGGGAGTGGTGGTGACCTTATCCGAGAAATTTCAGCTATGAAGCAGTCCGACGGGGGCGTGGTCGCACAAAGGAACTGGTCACGGCCAACTCAACGGTGCGCACGGGGCCGTGTAAACGTACGCCTGGCGGCACACATCCCGCTTGCTACGGTGGATCGCGACTTGTTGGTCAGCGCTTTGGGACCTCCTCGCCCATCACGTTGAGAAAGCGAGTACGTTTCGCTGATCACTCGTGCAAGACGCTAAACTTGCCGCCGGTTTCATTGGCGTGGGAAGTCTTACCTGGCGATGACATCACCACGGTGGGGTCGGCTGCAAAGAAAAGGTCGTCGGGGGTCCCTTCGCTGCCATGATTTGTGCGCACACGAGAATTCGCCGCATGGGGGTCACCCATTCGGTCCAGGCGATCAAGATCCGGCGCAACGGCGAGCTCGTGCTCCTGGCAGAGTATCGCACGTTCTTGGTGAGCAAATGCCCGGATTTTGCCCACGTGCGATGCATGATAACGCCTGCTATCCAAACCCGGGTTCTCTCGAGTTGGGAGGCCATCGCAAACGGCACCACGCCCGCGATGCGGGCCATCGGCCACACGTCGCCCGTCGTATGCTTCTACGACAGCTTTTACAAACGCCTCTTCGCAGGTGCCCCCGAGGTACGCCTGCGCCATGACCGCCCCCTGACGATGAAAAGGATGTGGCAGGTGCAGCCGCTCTTCCGAACGTCGATCATTGTCCAAGGCAAAGCGCTTATCAGTATCGTCCAGACCATTGCGAACGGTCCGAACTCGAACAATGCAATTGCAAGTGTTGTCGAGTTGGCCTACCGGCACAATCAGTACGGCGTCAAGATGCAATACTACAACGTGGTCGGGCGGGTGCTGCTGGAAGCCCTACAAGAGTGCACGGGACCGAGCGACTGGACCGCCGATCTCGACTTGGGCTGGCGCACCGTGTACGCCTACATGATGACAACGATGGCACCAATTGTGTATCATGGGGCCACCAACCACACAGACTGTGACAGAGCTTTGGCCAAACGGGGACGATATCAACAAAAACGGACGTTGCTGCGGCCGCCGACGGTCCATCCTGTGTCAACGCAGACGACGACGTCGTCACTCAACTCGCTGGTCCCCGAGTCCAAGATGTCCGAGTGTCCTGTCAAGAACGCGTGGAGCGTGCCGCCCTGATGAATCGTGTAAAGTTTCAGAGATCCCCATGCATGTGACCCCTCTGTGGGGGTGATGCCTTTCAACACTGCCCCCTCGAGAAGTGTGATGATTGAGGATCGCGAGAGCTTGGCGGGAGGTTGTCCGCCCCTGTGTCGTCGACGAGCGACAGGGATAGAGACCTGGGCATGGCGCTGCATACGGTATAGTGGTGCGATCCAAACAACCGCTGGGTTGCACAGTTCAGCGGTGGAATTCCACCACCGTTGGGACGCCACAACCGCATGGAACCGAGCCGTCCACGTTGTGTCGCTACAGGGACGTCCAAGTGCACCACGTCGCAGATATGCTGCTCCTTCCACGAAGCATGCCTGGACAACAAGCTAAGGAAAGCTTGACCTCCCGACGAGAAGTCGGAGCACTACTCTTGTTGCTGGAATGCATCGAATGAATGGATGGGAGTGAGCTCCACCCTTCCATGCCTCATTCTTGGCAGAGCCTCACCTTTGATTCACAACGCATTCGTCCCTTGTTTACCGGAGCCGCCAACTTGGCCCCGCCCCGTCGTCAGTCGGCCCCATGGCGCCCATCCAATACTTACACAGCTAAAACACGGGAGGAGGTTCTCATTGATGCGTTTGGTATGAACAAAATTAAGATGGGGGCGATTGAGCCCCATCCACGGGTGCTACCGAGGGCCAGATGTCGAGGGTTGCACAGGACACTGCGGACTTCCCCCCGTGGGCGAAATGGAAGTCAAGGTGTTGACGGGGCATTCGCCGGCTGGCAAAGCAGCGCCTATGTCCAACGGCTTGACGGATTTGGGGGGGCGCATTGTCATGGTATGTGTGAATTTTCCCGACTTCGCCTGCTCCTTTTCCTTGGCACTGGGGGCAATTTGGCCGTGGTACACGATGGGGGTCATGGCGGTGAGCATGTACGCGTACACGGTGCGCCAAGCAAGGTCGAGGTCTTGTGGCCAGAAGGCGTCGCCGCCACTGCATCGTTTCAGCGACGTCAGGAGGACCCGCCCAAGAGTGTTGTAGTACTCCATCTTGACCTTGTACTTATTGTGTCGGTAGGCCAGATCCACGACGCGCTCGATCGCTTGGGGGGAATTTACGGCATGCGTGATCGACTGAACGATGTTGATGAGGGCTTTCCCTTGGACGATGATCGACGACCGAAAGAGGGGCTTTGTCTATTATATGGCATGCAGCACATGAGCTGATGATCGCCAACGGCATCGTACCGATGGATCCTCCACAAACAAATCGTTGTAAAAGCTGTCGTAAAAGTATACGACGGGGGACTCGATTCCTTTCATCCCTGGCGCGGTCCCATTCGTGATGGTGTCCCAGTTGGTCATGACAAGGCGTGTGATCTCGGGGGTGACCAAGCACGATGTGTAGGCAAAGTCGGGGCACTTTGCCTGGAGGTACCGCTTGTACTTGGAGTGCAACGACAAGCTTCCGTCCGCGTTCCGAGTCACTGCTTGCACAGAGTACTTGATGCCCATGGCCGCCCCGTCACGTGGTGGTGGAAACGGTACGAGTGGGCGGAGCCGGCGAAATCGAGATTGGCGGATGACAAACTTGGCGGATTCGGTGGCACGGGGGCGCCATCATGCTGTGCCGACGAAACCAGCGCCGGTGTGTGCCATTTGAACTAAACACGCTGCGCATTTTTGGCACACGTGCTCGAAACGATTTTGCCCGGACCACGAAAGCGCCGTTTCCGACAAGGATGCAAACGGCGTCGCCATGTCACATAAATTCGTGGCTGCTCACATTTCCGAGCGCGCCCGATCCACCACCATCGCCCCATCTTTCGCGGGACAAATACACAAAATCCGCGCGTGCGCAAGAAATGCGACGGGTTCATGTGGCATATCGATGCTAAATATTCGACGACCATCGAGCGACAAGGCTCACCGTCGTTACAAGGAACCGTGAGCTACGGCGTCGGCATGACGGCGAGACAAACACCTATATGCCACCACGTGCTCCTTTCATCATGCGAGTTACGCTGACAGCTACGTCGTTTAGGTGGACTAGTGACTTGGCCATATCACCCTATCGAGGTTGTTGGGCAGCAAAGGGTGATGAAGAATGGGTATCTGTGATGCTAAAGCTACCCCCTTCATCGCCTGGCACTAGCCTTTAAAGTGCGCTGACAGCAACACACATAGCGCATGCGATTCGCATGGATGACCCCGACGAGGCGGCCTTGGAGGTGCGGTGGGTGTGTTGCGATGGCGGTAGTGCACGAGATGATCATGCATTACGCGTGACACGATGAAGGGTGACGTCTCGGGCAATGGAGGGGATGTGTTGATGTCGGTACTTGTCGTGACCTTGGTGGAGGAGGCATTCTATCGCACAAATGCCCCCTCAAACACTACCCACCCACTTGAACAGTCTTCGGCACCCCCCCCACCATGACAACGTGCGTCTGTGTGTGCAGCCGATGACGGTCAGAGATATGTGGCATGCACACTGCTCCAACTTCTCGGGTCGCCAATATGAACGCGTGCCACAGGAGGGTGTGGGATGACTTTATCTCACACCTGTCGAGTGTCTAACCTGGTTTTTGTATAACATACAAACACCAAGTGAACTCTCCAAAAGTGTGGTAGAACCAGTTGTACGGTTCGAACATTCGGACAGGTGGGCAATTGGCACTTGTAATTATGTCCGACATCGTTGTCGAGGCGGAGGACATCGAAAGCGACATCGCCGACGACAGGAATATCGATGGATGCCAGTGGGCAGATTTGCAAAGTGTCGCTTCAGTATGGCGACGTCTACCTAGTGCAGCGTCCGAGCGAGAATTCTCAACGATAGGCTTCATCCATTCCAAGCTGAGGAACTCCCTGAGCGCCAAGACTTGTTGAGAAGCTCGTGTTCATCAAGAGCAGCATGCGTGCGTTCTGCAGTTGTCCGATCGGCGGCGACGACGCCAGCGCGAGCGATTCCGCTCATACCAGCCTTCAGTAATGTTACACGGAATAAAACCATGGTTTTCATACCCCGAAATCGGGTTTTAATGATTAAAACCTTAAACCCGATGTGTCTTAGGCGAAAAAGATCGGGTTGTTCCTCTCCTGGATAAAATGGGTCTACAATTCGAAAATCGCTTGAAAAAAAGCCCTGGGTGATGTTTATCCACATACAAATTTCAAGATATGTCTCGAGTACGTAGCACAAGATTTGCTCATGTTTTTCTCAACTTCGTGGATCGTCCCAATGGAGAAATCAACGACGGTAGATGACATCAATTTATAC